AATGCCGAGACCCTGAGATCAAAGAGGAAGTGGGGAGCAATGACAGCTTACCCTTGGTGGAAGAGGATCAGGTTAGGGAATGCTTCAACAAATTGGACAGACAAAAGTTCACTAGTCCTGGCAGGATGCACACACAAGGGTTGAGGAAGCTGGCTGATGTCATTGCAAATCTACGCTTGGTTATCTCTGAAAGGTCATGGTGATCAGGAAATGTTCCTGAGGACTGGAAGATGTCACTCCTGTCTTGAAGAGCAAAAAGAAGGATCCAGGGATCTACAGGCTGCACGGCCTCACCTCAGTCCCTGGGAGGGCAACAGAGCAACTAAACCCTGGGTGCCATTTCCAGACTTACAAAGGACAGGAAGGCTATTGGGAGTAGTCAGCATGGATTCATAAATGGGAAATCATGACTGACCAACCTGATAGCCTTCTATGATGAGATGACTGGCTTGGTGAATGAGGGAGAGAGCAATAGATGTTGTTTTACCTTGATTTTTAGAAAGGCTTTTGACGCTGTCTCCTGTAACATCCTCTTGGCAAGCTGATGAAGTACAGGCTAGTCGAATGGACAGTGATCTGGACTGAAACTGAACTTAACTGCTGGGCTTAGGATTATGCTCAGCAGCACAAAGTCAAGCTGGAGGCCAGTCACCAGTGATGTGCCCCCGGGTTTGATATGGGGCCAGTACTTTTTAGCGTCTTCATAAATGATCTGGATGATGGGATCAAATGTGGCCTCAGCAAGTTTGTTAATGACACCAAACTGGGAGGAGTGGCTGACATACCGGATGGTTATCCTCCTGTTCAGAGGTACCTCACAGGCTGGAGACGTGGGTGGGGAGGAACCACATCTTAAGGATAAAGTTCAACCAGGTGAAGTGCAAAGCCCTGCACCTGAGCAGGCATAAGCCCATGCACCAGTACAGGCTGGGGGCTGACCTGCTGGAAAGCAGCTTGGCAGAAAAGGTGGTGGATAAGTTGAACGCAAGCCAGCAATGGGCCCTCATGGTAAAGAAGGCCAATGGTATCCTCGGCTGCGTGAGGCAGAGTGTTGCCAGCAGGTCGAGGGAGGTGATCCTTCCCCTCTATTCCACCCTGGTGAGGCCATATCTGGAGTGCTGTGTCCATGATGGGCTCCCCAGTGCAAGACAGACATGGACCTGCTGAAGGGAGTCCAGCGAAGGGCCATGAAAATGATTAATGAACTGGAGCATCTGTCATAGGAGGAGAGGCTGAGAGAGCTGGGACTGCTCAGCCTGAAGAAGAGGAGGAGTGGGCAGGGAAGGAATGCTACTGGTGTTTATACGTATTTGATGGGAGGGTATATAGAGGATGGGACCAGGCTCTTCTCAGTAGTGCTCTGCCACAGGATGAGAGGCAACGTGCATAAAGTGAAACACGGGAAATTTCCACTGGAACGCAAGAAAACGTTTTACTTTGAGGGTGGTTGAGTACTGGAACGTTTTGCTTGGAGAAGCTGCGGAGCATTCATCCTTGGAGATATTCAGAAGGTGTCTGGATGCAGTCCGGGGCAACCTTCTGTAGCTGCTGCAGCTCCTGCTTTGAGCAAGAGGATCGGACCGGATGATCTCCAGAGGTCCTATCCAACCCAAACTGCTCGGTCATTCGGTGATTTAAATAATGTGTAACTGAAGAGGGAAAGCCAGTGTGTGTGTTTTCTTTCAAAAACAAGTTGCATACTTGGTCAAAATAATCCACCAGGTTACTTCAGGTAATGCAAGTTGTTTGTGTTTAGCCTTTGCTGTGCATCCTTCCTAGCACAGCCTATAGTGACTGCACATTGAGAAACAGTTCCTCTTGCCAAGCAGGGGATGTACCGAAAATGCCTTTTTTCAAAACCTTTTGAAAATTTGGTTTATTTCACCACCACGGACTATCTGAAATTCACAAAAACTGCACTGGCCTTACCTGATTGATACTGACTTTAAGCCAAGCTGTGCTATAATAGAAGTTGGGATTCTGATCAGGTACAGAACCAGAATTTAAAACTTGTTGAATAAGTAATCTAATTGTAATTAGAGATCATATATTGCCTGTTAATGGTTACTTCAGGGTTTTCTCTGCTTTACTGAATAGGACTGTCTCTGTTCACTGTGTCCTTCATAGTCTTAGAACTAGTGGAGTTGATTGTCTTCTCAGATGTCTCTATAGACAATTCAAATCAAGTGTGGGTTCAGGATGCTCTCTTTCCTTGCAGATGAGGCTGTAGGTCCGGAGCTCAAGGTGCTGAAGCAGTGACTCAATATTCTCAGAAACTTCCTTAGAAATTTTCTTGTCACTTAATTTAATCCTGTTATTAAAATTATTAAAAGTTATCTGCTGTTTTCTGCCACAAGGAGAGGCAAGTTGGAAGAACCAGAATTTTTGTTGCTGTTGTGTTTTGGGTTTTTTTTTTTTTTTTAATCCTCTTCTTAAGAACCTCTTCCAGCCCCCTTAATGATTTATATTTTATTAGTGTGAAAGTAGACCTTTCAGTATTTGAATTCCTTGAAGTACTGAATGGGAAATCTAATGTGTAAGATTCCTATTTATCTTGAAATTTTCAGCTGGAATGTGGTACTGGAAGAGGTTTATATCTCAGTTTGCTTCCCCATTTAATTTGATTTTAATTAAAAAAAACATGCAAAGAGAAAAGATGCTGGTTATTCAGGTCCTTGAGACTTATGTAGAAAATAGTGTCTCTGTGACTGTCAGATATGGCATTCGTCACTTTTCTCCTTCAAACGTTACGGACTTTGCTCAGGTGTAAGATACTGGCTGTTATGTGAATGATCCACTAGCATGGGGGAAAAGGCTGCAATTTTTTCCATGTTGTTTCTTTTCTTCATGTAGGAAAGGAGAACTGAGGTACAGTACAGTAAGACAAACAGTATGATGGATTCAGAAGGTTGTGCCCCAACAAATTCAAAGCAAGATCTAAGCCATCACATAAAGGCTACATCTGGTAAACATTATCTTTGTGGCTATTGTGCTGCCTTCACAAATATAGCAGTCACTTTTCCCATCCAGAAGGTCCTCTTTCGTCAACAGCTGTATGGCTTGAAAACAAAGGACGCAGTACATCAGTTACAGAAAGATGGAATTCGAAATCTCTATCGTGGCATCCTTCCGCCGTTAATGCAGAAAACGACTACTCTGGCTCTAATGTTTGGGTTGTATGAAGATTTCTCCTCACTGCTCCATAGCCACACAAGTGCTCCTGAGCTCTTCACTCGTAGCATAGCGGCAGTGCTTGCAGGGACCACTGAAGCTGCTCTTACACCTTTTGAGCGAGTTCAAACTTTGCTTCAGGACTACAAATATCATGACAAATTTACAAACACTTACCAGGCTTTCAAGGTACTGAAAGATTATGGGATTAGAGAATACTATCGAGGATTGGTACCTATTCTGCTCCGAAATGGACCCAGTAATGCACTCTTCTTTGGCCTACGCGGACCCATCAAACAGTGTCTGCCCGAAGCAACTTCTTACAGCGCTCATATGGTCAATGACTTCATCTGCGGTGGGCTGTTGGGTGCGATGCTGGGATTCTTATTTTTCCCAATGAATGTTGTAAAAGCTCGCATGCAGTCTCAAATTGGTGGTGAATTTCAGTCTTTTTCAAAAGTTTTTGTGAAGATCTGGCTAGAACGTGATAGAAAATTGATGCATCTTTTCAGAGGAGCCCATCTGAATTACCATCGTTCTGTCCTGTCCTGGGGCATAATCAATGCAACTTATGAATTCCTGCTAAAGCTGTTATGAAAAATACTGTCTACCTTTGCAGTCCTTCTGTTCACTTGGGTATTGGCACACTTGAGGTCACTTAACCCCCAGGGAACAGATTAGTTTATGAAACTTTCTATAAATAACATGGAGTATCATGAAACATAAGAGAATTCAAGGCAGCAGTTATATTTCAGTAGAGATGAGTGCCTGCTTAGTGTGAAAAGTGATTAAATAGTCTTGGCCTTCAATATTTGGGTGAATGGTGGTGCATCTAAACCTTGATGTGGTTGAGACTAACTTTTTGAAGTATTTATGCACTGGCAGGTCAATTTGCCCATAAGGGAATTACTAGACAAATGCAAGGTTGAAAAAAAAGAACAACATAAAAACAAAAAGCTTGTGTATTAGTCCAGTAGCTTATTCCATATCACTCCCACAATTTTTTTTAACACTCCCAGTGACTGAAAGCGTTTCACTGTGTGCATCGTAGAACATGAAAGTCAAGGAGGGGCTGACAAAAACTATTTCTCTTGGTTGATATACTTCACAACCTTGATGTAAGAACTACATCTTCAAATGCTTGGGGGTTCCAAGTTATCCTTATAGTTTAAAACTACATGGATGAGTCCAGATGAGAATGACTGACTTTTTGAACCTCAAACTTAAATTAAGCCTACGCAATCTGTTCTGCCAACTATTTTACTGCTTGGCTTTAACACAAACAGTTCATTCAGCAATGTAAAAGCAGTTACTGAATGTTTAACTTCAGTGTAAGCTGACCCCAGTTCAGAGCGGGATTGTGCATATGTATGTGTGTGCCTTGATGTGAAAAGGGAAACATGGAAAGAATGAAACAGCTATTTTACTTAAAGCTTTAAAGTGTCCTTCCTTGTTAAAAAACCTTTTTGTGAATGTGGAGTACTTGATTTTTTTTTTTTTGTTTTGCTTTGTTTCTGTTGTAAACAGCTACGGTGTCAGAAAGATGGCTCTTTCTGTAATGTTAATGCAATAAATAGTTCAGCTTCCCCTTGTTGTGAAAGTAGTTCATGAACAGCTCTTTTTGTACTGAGGTATCTTATGTCTTTTGCATTTTTGCAAATTATTTTTGTTTCCTTTGGGCTGTGGTATAATGGAGGCATAGTTCTATCCACTTTCTGCATACTCTGAACAGTCTGTAAGACAGGCCTGTACATCAGCACTGACAAGATGAGATTTTTGGGGTAATAACGACTTAAGCAGAGGTTTGTAAGTATAGTGACGCGATAATAAGTGATTACTTATACTGATGATACCAGGAGACAACCAAAGAAGACCTTAGAAGCAGCTACATAGGAGGAATGCAGCGTTTGGAGAAGTTGGAGAAGCCTTTAAAGGACTTTGGTAGGCTTGAGTGCTGGGAAACATTTGTGGAAATGTCAAGTATTATAAACTTGGGAGGTGAGAGAGGTAAGACTTAATGCATTAGAGAAGGGGATGGGACAGCAGGCATGATCAACAAGCAGATGATTGTCTTAACAAAAAACATTTGATTCTCTTAGGAAACTTTCCCTTCTCCCCACAATTTCATGGCATAGTCTATATTTGAGGGGTGAACAGGAAAGCTTTCAAAGAGAGTTCTGAATTTTTCTTTTCTTAGCCACTCTAAAGCTTATTACATTTATTTTTCATTTGCTGTATCTGTTCCTAAAGATTATTATATCCATAATGTACTGTTTAGAATCATAGTACCTAGCTTCACAGTCAAAAATGGCCAGGCAGAAGTGAGCATTGTTTTTATCTGGATGTTGTGATTATATACTTTTAAATAAAATGTCTGTTGAATGTTTGTTACTTGCAGAATCTGATTTTTACTAGTGTGTTTTTTTGTAATCACTCCTTGATGGAATAAAAAATATGTAAATCCTGTTTCTCTTGTGGAAGATGCTATATGCTTCTCTAATGTTGGGAAATCTGAGGAGTTAAACATCAGAGTTTAACATAAGCCTGCCACTAATTTATAATGTGCATTACTATAGCAAAAAAGAGTAAGTTCAGGGCTTCATCTATGCTATTTCTGCTTATATATTTCATGTTTAGATGGAACACAGTGAAGGTGTTTCATGATAGAAGTAGAATCTTTGTTTTGTAAAATTCAGTTATGCAGTAAAGGAATCAAAGGAATTGTATGCTTAAATTATGGATGTCTTATGTGTATTGTTTTGACACAATAAGGATAAACACAAGTTGAAGGGATGTGAAGTTTGTAGTTTAATAAACAGGGGAGTAGTAGTTTGCTAAACAGTCCTGGAAGAGAACACAAAGGGAACAGCACTGCTTCAGCTAGACTGAAGACAGCTTTCCGGTCTAAGCAAACTGGTTATAACCAAGCTTGCTTACTCCATACTTCATGAAGTTGGAATATTAAGCGTACAACTGCTATTTGGCAGCAGTGTCGACTGCTCTCTAGCTAGGACCAGGAACGGTGAGCTCTTCAACTTAACCACTAGCTAGCAGCGTTTCTATGTGTTGTCATAGAACAGGGTGAAAGAGAAAGTTTTACAAAGAAAGAGGCCTCTTTCACCTCAATTACCTTCCCTGGCACTTTTTTTCCCTGGGATAGTTCAGGCATAAGAGCCTAAATCTTTTGTTGACTCTCATCACTATCCATGCAATATATCAGATGCAAGTGAAATGGACTTTGTTACCCTTATTAAAACAGCATCATTGGACATTGCAGAACAGCTGAAGAGTTTAGGCACCAGTGCTGCCTTCTGTAAAAAATATGCAAATATGCTGCCAGGTGCTACAGTCAATCTGTAGCAAGGTTCATTATGATCACTGGCCTCTCCTCTGTTGTTCGTGGGGGACAACAGCAATCCCTTCTTGCTAAAGGAGGGAAGGGGAATGCCACTGATAATTCTTCTTCATTACTACAGCATTTCTGTTAAGTTGGAATTTGGGTAATAACCACTTTGAGCAAAGGTCAGCAATATTACAATATATTGCACTATCCCTTTGAGTTTTTTTTGTTTTTAAATGTTTTTAAATGTTTTTTGTTTTTAAATGTTTTTAAATGACAAAGGTCATTTAATTTCTTGCATAGGAAAGTAAACTCACATAAAGGAGATGCTGGTAGCTTTCAGCAGCTCTTAAGTGACAGCATGCCTGGAAAAGGTAACAAGCTTCAGTAACAGTTGTGTGAAATAAGCATCATATACCAATTACATGTTGTCATTGTCATATTCCTAGTTTTTTTTTCTCATAGAAACTAATGCTATTATTGATCTAATGAAAAGACAGACAGCTTTCCCATCCTTATTTATGAAATCTTTAATGAGGGGGCAGGGAAAGCCACAAGTGCTCTCAAAACTGAGAAGTATTTTTCCAGAGTCAGGGTAAAATAAACTGGATTCAGTGCATTATTTTAGACAGGGTACAGACTATTTACCACTGCCTGCTTTGCAGGTTTGCCTCAAAACCAAGACTGTTCTACAGGTAAGATTCAAAATTTGACTCTCAGCCTGGCTTTTATCTCATTAAATTTCAAGGAAACTCAATGGAAGAACAATGCAAATGGTACAGTGCTGCATGAGCTTGAGCACTGCCTAAGTAGTTTAAAGATACTATTGTCTCTATAGCAAAATCAGGGCAAGAGTGTGCTCGTTTCTCAGCTGCTTAGCTAGAATTTCTTTGCCTTGCCCTCCAAATCCACCTTATAATTTACATTCAAGTGGCATATTGAGCAGCAGCAGCTCAGGAATACAAGTGCTCCTGCCTGCATCATGGCCTTATTTACTGTGAACACAACAGTAGGTAGTTGTGGCACGCAGAATACGTCCTACGTGCGCAGTGAGGCAAGTACATTACTGGCCCGGCTTGATACCCTGACTTTAGTCAGCTCTTCAGGTGATGTTGGAGGCAGAATTAACTTTTCTAGGTGCTGTTTTCACCACAGCCAGTGGCAAGTGGCTTTACTAGAGCTCCACCCTTTGCAACTGAAAGGGTAATACTGCAGAGAGCAATTTGGAGGAAAAAAATAAGAACAGGTACCATAACACTGGCAGTGCCTACCTTCATTCAAAGTCGGGTAGAAATGCCTTTAAAACAAAGCAAAAATAAATAGACATTGTTCCTAGCGGCGTGTGCGCTTGCTGCCCATTTTGGCAAGCAGAAGACCCATAATTTAGTTTGCTCTCCAAGCTGTGCTTTGGCAGACCCCAAAACTGTTAAACCGGGTATGGTGTCAGGCATAGAGGCGGCCTCACAACAAAGGTGATGTTACATGATTACACCTGTAGAAAAGGATGACTGTCTGAGGCAGTCTTTTTTACACCAAACAAGAATAAATCACTACCTCATGCACACCTGTCTCCCTTTGCTCTGCCACGTATAATTTTCATCTCCAGTTTTACACTGTTCCATTTGAGCTGACATCTGCCTGCTCACAATTGCAAAACTCTCTCAGCAAAATTTTGAGAACAATGCCTTTGGTGTGCTGCTTTCAAGAGTTAATGTTGGAACAAAAGAAGCTCTGTAAACCACAGCTGTTTTCAGTCAACAGAATGATTAACTAGTCTTCCTTTGTCATTATCATACTAACCTCAGCCTGTTACCTGCTTTCTAGGCTTCACCAGTCAGCTGTTTCTTCGCCCAAGTATGCCTGATGGTAAGGACTGTAGTAGACTGATGGAAGACCCAGACATGTTAGATACACAGATTGTTTTGTTCTAAGTACTCCTTTTTCTCTTAGTAGTAGGGAGTGGGCAAGAACCAGTTAGCACTACACAGGATTGCTCAGTGTAAGATAACTGCAAGAGATTTTAATCCACTGAATTATTAAATGCTTAGTTTATTATGCAACCAAGAGAAACTGTCCACAAACAGTAAATTAGAGTATGGCTGTAAATACAACATATTCAGAACAGTTTTGATACTTTTAGTATTGCATTAAATGGCTAAAGATTTTTACTATGAAATCTCAGTATTTCAAAATATTCCACATGCACAATTTATTTTTGTATTAAAAAAACCTTGCACTCGATTGAGAATACTTAGTGCTTAAAAAAAAAAAGCACCATCAACTAATATCCAGAAACGAAAAGGTTTATTTTTCGTCCAGGACAGATATTATGGGCACTGTCAACGCTTCCCTTCTATCCCAATCTATTAATCCTGTAAATTAAGATTTCTTTTTTTGTAACTTCCATTTGACGAGTGTATTTTTGTTGTCAACAGTCAAAATTTCATAGAGCAACAGACCTGTGTTTTTTGCTATCAGGACCCTTTTTCACAATGTTACCTAAAATCCCTTTACAAGCGATGTCCACATTCCATCTCTGGTATTAGGCAATAAAAAAAAAAAAAAAAGTCCTTACCAAGACTCCAAGACTGCCCCTACAAACCCGAGGATTGGGGGGCAGTCTAAACAACTGTGCTTTTTCCCCACCACCGACTGCTTTTTTGAGGCATACTAGCTAAATTTTTCCCTGAACTAACCATGTTCGACAAGCATACTGATTCTCCACGGCTGTAAGTGTATGTATATATTGAAATACACAAACACACCTAATACAGAGAAAGTACATATACAGAAACATCATTCTGTAATCCCATTAATGGTTTCTTCTTTCCCTCCCCCAAAAGCTAACAGTGCTGTAGCGATTTAAAGACTGACCTCTAATGGAATATTCACAAAATGCATTTAATTCCAACAATGTCTGGTCCCTAGACTATTAGAAAAGGATAATCGCCTTCAAACATACTAGTGCTGTTCCTGTAAACACTGCTAAAAGTTGACTTTCCTACAGAGATCTTACTATGCAGCTCATCTGCCTCCGCTGATCAGACATGCTGAGAATGGAAGAATTATTTTACTACAATACTTCATGAATGTGAAACCATGCATTTATAAAGCATGTTACATGTTTTACAGTCAAACTAAGAGTTCTATCTTCAGTACAAATACTGTAAAATTTATCAACTGGTGTAACACTTGAGTGATCTAAAATAGACCAAAGAGAAAGTGGAATAAACCACTACTGCATTTTGCTATTAGTGCAGTATTCAATCTATCATTTGAAATATTTTCTTGTAGATGACAGCTTTTTTTTTTTTTTTTAAATAATTCTGCCTCTTTGAAGTTGAAGGGTTGATGGTTAAGAATTTGCTTTTTGAAATGTAAGATGTAACTTTTTTTTGCTATCTAGAAATAATCCAAAGCTCACCCATAAATTACTTCATTAATTCCGTTAGGCAAGATAATATGATTTAGAAAGACAAAAGCTGCAAATTATTCCCTCTCAAGATGTAACTGCAAGGCATATCAGTTGTAAATTACTGAATACTGTTTCAAGGTAACTGTTACGTGAACTTCATAGGTAAAATGAACTAACTTTCATTGAAAACTTCCAAGTATTGGTACAGAGAAATGATCACTCATAACTTCAGATTATCTACTCATTCTAATTCCAACTTATTGCAAATGTAATTGGAAGAGTTAGGCAACCTTCCTCTAGTATACATGGATGGAATCTGTCTTAATATAAAATGCACCTGCTCCTTTTCCTGCTGCACACAGTACCAAAGCATCAACACATCAAAAACCTCAACCAGGTCAACTTCTACCATGTCTCGCACTTCTCACTGGTCTTGGTTTTCAGAGCTATGACGAAAGTTGGTAAAACTATCACTCTTGGTGCTCTACATGATACGTAGTGTTTAGATACAATGACATGTGCCACTTTATTAATTAACAGTTCTTTATACAGCAGAAAATGTCTAATATTTCAGCACAATACCCTTATAAAAAAATAGCATGTCATGAGGTAGAATCAAAAAAGTAAAACTCAGTGCATATTAGCAGGCATAGTTTAAAGTTACAAGCAGTTTACCAGTTGGGGGAAATCTTACTAGGAAAAACCAAAAACAGCCATGAAAGAACCAAAAATGGTTTTGTCTTCACAGGTGCTTCTTAGCCTCCAAAATGAACATGTTTCAAGTCTCTGAAAACAGTATTTAGGAGCTATTCAAAATGTTTCCTATAGTTCCTTAAATGATGCTTAGTAAAATATTACGTAAGCTGAGAAAGAAGCCGCCTATAAGGAGAGATGGCCTATGGAAAAAGACCTCATGGTCCGGAAAATGAGAGGCTGCTATTTTTAATGGAGAGCAGAGAAAAAAAAAAAAATCCATCTTCCATTCTCTTTTCAAATTACTTGAGACGCTAGCTACTTCTCCTGGGTTAGTCACAGTAAATTTAACATTTCCACTGGATTAATTTCAAGAACACAGTATCCCGCATTTTTTCCACAAACAACTTTTTTTTTTTTTTTTTTAATAGCCTGGCAATTAGAAATACCTTGTACTTAGGCTCCTCCTTTGCATAAGAAAATTGCTTTCCAGCACTGTCATCGTTACTTGCACACTTCACTTCCGGTACTTTATGTCAAAGACCAGAAAAATCTCTCTCAATTGTTTCTAACAAACCAACAAATCTAAGCTGCCTGCAATTTGGATTTGGCTTTGCAGGCCCTCCTTCACACATAAAAGGAGGTGGATGCCTCCTAGTCTGAGTAGGCTGGTATATTTCTACACTATTATGCAAACTTTATTTATGCAGTCACTATTCCCCATTTTTCATGACTTGGCCAATTTGCTTGGAGTGAAGAAAGTACCTTTTTATGAATGCCTTCCTACAACTCTTCTGAAAGCACTTAAATATAGAAGTGTTTGAACTCGAGAGTCATGGTGTCCATTTTAAAAAATGAGGGATATCTTAGTTTATGATTTCCCATTAGCGTAATTTTGAGTTCAAGGCAATAGTTTCAGCAACAAGTGAATTGCTCAAAAGATATATGCTACGGGACATTTGAGTCATTGAGATGATCATGAACAGACGTCTGCATTTCAAGTTAACTCAGGACATTTACTTAAAAACAAAAACAACCCCCCCCTCTCCCCCCGCCACGATTCTGCCTCCTCCAGCTGAGGAGACATTCTGAGAGACTACCATAGAATAATTCAGGTTCAGAAAAACAGAAGACTGTAAAATCTTGGACATTTATCCAAGAATTGGATATGCCTTAGTTGCAAACATTCACTTATTTCCATTTAATCCTCGATCACTCAGTTGCTGGACACGATGAAAACCCAAGTGAGGAGTAATTAACTAGTCCAGTGCTCAAGTTAGCAAATACCCAATATTAAAGGCTTTTTATTACTAAAGAAATTCACCAACAGAAATAGAAAGTTTAAGATTAAATTTTTCTCACATTGCAGAGAAGTCTTAAGTTTCAATGACTCCTGCACCAGCACCACAGAGAATATTACCTACATGAATTCAAAACCACATCAGAGGATTGTCAGCTTTATGTATTTCCAGCTATTTTCTTCACAGATGTCTCCTTTTTCCTCAAACAGCAAACACAATTTTTGCAAAAAGACATAACATTCAGCCTTCAACAAGCATCTTCTGTCAAGTTGTAGATACTAAATCTAAATACCAAAATATGATGGTCCTTTTTAGGCAAAGCTTCCTGTTGTTTTCAGTGTGTGTTTTGTCAGTAAAATCTTAGTGAAATACTCAAAAAATTACCTTACAACCTGCAAGTGGTGAGAATAATATAAACCGATATGGACGTAAGAGACTGAAATTACATTTACAAGGTTAGCTGTATTAACTCAAGGAGTGAAATGTGGCATTCGTACCTAATACGTGAATTAATGCTAAACATTAACATTTTTCATATCTTGTGATAAGTCCAGTTAAACCCAAATAGACCTTACTTTAGACAGGTATACTTTTAATCTATTCCAAACTGACAATACATTTGAATAAATGCTTATCTGATGAAGCTATGGACACTTCCTAGACCAATTCCTCTCATAACAATGGTGTATGCAAGGTACAGAAGAACATTATGTACTTCAGTTGGGATATGGCTTTAGTATCAGCTGAAAATTCTGTATACTGTTAAGTGTCACATATGTTATCAAGTTTTATATTATCAATGCGGAACGCTTCCCACAGTAAAAGTGACAGAACCGCAGTAGCTAAGGAGTACAATTTGCTCAGAGGCCAGCTAACCGTCCATTTAACGAGAAACATTCTGAACAGTTAATCTGCAGTGATTATATGAAAAGATTTTTACCCATTCAGCTCTTGTTTGTTTCCCTGCCCCATTCTTCTCCTCCTAAATTCTATTTGAGGAAAATGCAGCTACATCTCCATCCAGAATCTTTTCCTTCTGGCAATAAACACAATACATACAATTAAGGAAAAACAGCCTAAAAAGATTTTAACTACAGCAAAACATTACAGAAAGTTTACTATTTTTTTTCTAGCCAATCACAGATAACCAAATTTGTATAGAAATGAAAACTTTTTTTTTTTTTCTTTTTGTGGCAGTAACTAATCTAGCGTGCACAAAACCAGCTCCATTATCCAATAATCATTGTATAGTATTTTCAGCAAGAGAAAAGGCCAAGCAAGTGTATGTGAGGAAGTCCAGTTCCTCTGGAACAAACAGGTATCGTACCAGCAGGACCTGGGTAAGTTTTGGCTGAACTGTTACCCATGCCCCATCTACATTTCCTTCAGACAGCCCACTTTTAAGTTATGTTGAAATGAACCAACCAGAAAGACGACGCAATGGCACAGGATCAGCAGGAGCAGAGGTCTGCACGGAAGGCTGAAAACAAAATGCACAGAGCCTTACTTCTGGATGCAGTATCAGAATGCATACAGTGATGGACTGGGAACTTGTTTCACTGTTATGTTCACAGACCATAGTAACTATGATCTTATCTGAATTTACACAACTTCAAAAAGAACACACTTCAACTAAACTGAAGTAATTATTAACACAAACATCTGAAGTTCCTGTTGATGTAAGGATGCGCCTAGAACTTTGGCTGATACAAAGAAACACGTCCACTAAGGCACCCCGAGGCAATCTGACAGTGTGTTGGAGAAAACTTTGTTGTCAGTACCACATCGTTGTGAGAGTAGAGGGAACGTATTTCCTGTAAGGGACCGGCTTCTCTGGGCAAACAGTCAACAAGTTCGCTGCACTGTGTGTCAAACCCCAACAAGCGGATCCCATAGCCATGTGGGGATGAAATCATCCGACCATCAGGACTGAAACAAAGTTCTTTGATGTATCCCCGGCCTACGTTGGCTTCTTCAATGCAATGAGTCAATCGCAGAGAACAACGAAGTGAGACAGGGCGCACAGGGGCTCCTTCCTGGAATTCATAGACACAGGTCCACTAAAGAGAGAGGCAGAGAAAAGAAGATTGCAAGAATGTCCAAATATGCATTTGCTCCTGCTGGAGATGAAGTAAATACACAGAGGAATGTCCAACACAGTTGCCTATCTACTCTTCGATAAGCATTTACTATGAACCACTGAAAACAGATATGTCCCCTGGCACCTCTTCCCCTTTGAACTGTCTATGCAAAATAGTTATTTAGGGTCAAAGCTACTTTTTAAATTAAGTGAGGTATCAGGCATGTCTGCTAGATGTAATCATTCAAATCTGATTTTTAATTGGAAATAGGAGTGCCTAATCCTTTTGACAGGAGTCTACTCTAATTTGGTAAACACTTAAATGAAATCTAGAAAAAAGCAGAACGCAGCCTACAGTAATTTACAGTTGCTCACTGGTATTTTGTACCCTTAACTTAAAACAGAAAAACATCTTCCAAAAAGACAGATGCAGATTTTAAAGGAAGGTTACAAACAGCTCTACAGCCAGTTCGTAACACAGGAAACAACCTGAGATTTTAATACAGAATGTAATCGTGTAAATTACAAACCAAATACAAATCCATTATTACAAACTACGTTTACATCGTTGTGATAGATTAGAGAGTGTTGAGGATTTCCAGCTACAAGACAGAAGAAATGCTCTTAGTTCTGTTCAATGTATTCTATTGTAGTAAACACAAGGAGAACACCCACCTTGAATGAATGCTCATAGAAAAGAATAAGGTAGACACCAGGACTGTAGGAAATTATAACTAGGCCAGTTGTCAGTATTAACTCAATTTAATATTTGCATTTTCAAAAAATTGTGTTTTGCAGAATTCTGTTTTTTGATAATAAGTTGATAGACTCGATACTGAAATTGATAATAATCTGCTAAGTTTCCACTCAGTCACTTATACCACCTCTGTAGGAGGCTATGAAGAGTGACTTTCTTCCGTAATAAATCAATTCATGTCAACTCTCATATTAATTAAACTATTTAGCACTCATTAAATATTCATAGGAATTTTCTGGGTGTTTTTTTTTTTTTTGGAAAAAAAATATAAAATCTCAATGTCTTTGCAGACTACACAGAGGAGTCTGAACAGCTGTCAGAACAATCATTTTGAAGTAACCTTAAGAGAACAAGATGGTCAGAAGAGAATCATCTGGTGGAATCCAGATGTTCTGAAGGTTCTGGCTGGGATTTAAGCTATAAGCGAACCTGAGTTAACCTGGAAGCTACTTCCTGAAATGCAGGTGCTCCCAAACCACAACCTTTGGGCTCTTGCTTTTTATACGTAGTCCATGGAAAAGATTTTTTCATTATTTCTGAGCGTGACTGGAGTGTATCATAGTCAAATCTATAACGCCGGTAATTTTAAGAAGATGTAAAAATATGCCATGAGATTTTTCACAGCAGTATAAAAGCAGCCTCTAAAAAACATTCATCAACACAGCAAGAATACTTTATCCTTGGGACAATGATGGACAAGAAACATTCTGAAGGCATGTGAGGAAAAAACATTCTTGAAGGAACTTCAGAGGAGATGCTTTGCTCAACTTAAAAACTCTATACCCACAATACCCAAGTCTATAATTTTGTGTCTTTTCCAAGTACCGTCCTTCGATTTTTTGATAGGTACATATTTCTAAGTCACATAGCTGGAAGCACAAGTACTGTCTGAAACCTTCTAGCAGAACTGTACATTTTAAGAAGTATTCCCTGGAAGAGCTAGGCAACAAAAATATAAATGCAAGATACAAAGTCTTACCAGCAAGCCATTTAAAAAAAAAAAGCGCTTCATAGTCTTAGTTTAAAATGAATGCACTTGTAAGTAGAAATAATTAACTAATTTATTCAGATTCAATATTTACCTGAAAAGAAGGAATTTTCAACATAGTTGTATGATCAATACATTTTATTCAAAGTATATTTTAAAAAATATTTTTGTTTTACCTCCTGGTCATCTGTATTACTTGAGCACCGCAGAAGTGTAGCCCACCCTTTTGGATGGAGCTGTAGTGATGTAATGCAGTTCCCACGGTCTCGTTCTCCAGGAACTTCTGGTGTTAAGACCTCCAGACTATTTCTAGGTGATCCACCTAGGAAGGAAAGTCAACTTTAAGACTAATGCACTCTACTCTGTTCAGTCTACTCTGAGACTAGTCAAGTGTGTGAAACCTGCATCCAATGGCTAGAAGGGATGGTATTAGCTTTAGGAAAATATAAACCAAAAAAGAGGTTATACTAATAACTGAAGTTAATACAAAGGGCTCAGTCTCGATTCCAAGTAGCTTCTTTTTCAAAATCATCTTCAAAGACCAAAGTTGATATCCTCTCATATCGTGAACTAAGTCAGGGATAACTGTCCACTCATGAACTTTTCATCCTCATTAAAACAAAGTTTAAAGAGTGCTGTTCTTGTAAGGAACTACTGATTATGAAACTTGCATGATGTCCTTTCCAAACTCTTGCCAGTCTGCTCAGCTATGTGGAGTTTGCCTCCTTTCTACACTAACCACAAAGATGTTTTTGCGGATAAATCATGGTCTGGGGGTTCAGAGAACCCTCCTTCTTTTGCAACTATGATCATCTCACAACGGTAAATAGTTAAAGCTTAACACTGTCCTTATTTTAAAGTGGCGAGTGAGTCATAAATACTTGCCACTTTGTCCAAGTTGATGCTGACTCTCTGAAGGGCTCTCCAAGACCAGACTCAGCCTGCTAAGCACAGGTTCATCACTTTTAATAATGTATATTTAGCTAGGATTCGCCTTGCAAATGAGAACTTCACAAATAATTCCATCAACCCTTTAAGAACCTAACCCATTTACGTACTCTTTTTCCATGTTACTGACTCTGCATGGAGAAACAACAGAAACCTATTTCTATCACTAAGGCCAACAAATAGCAGAACACAGCTGTGAGGGCTTAGTTCTGCTGTTTTTTTTTTTTTTTTTTTTAAAAAAAAAATATCATGCATGTGAAATTTGTTGAAGGAAAGAATTATTTATTTTTATAAAGAAAAGGCAGTACCTCTGCATAATAAAGATAATGTACTAATACAAAATAAATATCTTGTTGCTTTCTTTTAGATTTCTTGGGGAAAAAAAAAAAATCAGATCTCCAGACTCTGCTGTGCAGTGATATTTATTGGTTTTACAAAAGTCATAGCAACACTTTTCTTCTAAAAGCCAAACAAACAAAAATGTATTTTTCTACTACTATACTCTGGCCTCTTTTGATCACTGATTTCTTTACCTACCTTCTCGCTGCGAGGACCGTGACATATGTTTCTCAGACAGTAGACCTGAATCATTCTGGTGACATGGTGAACCAACAGCTCGAGGACCAGATGAACTTGTAGATGTTGTATCTGCAAAGAGCATCAACCACATAAATATACCATTAAGAAGAGCCTTTTTAGCTGTGTAAGTCCCTCACTTAAACTGCCTTAGGAACGGTAAGTAAAGCCTTGGGAGCGGGGAAGGAAAGGGGTATATCTTCTTAAGAAAAGACTTTCCAAAAAAATGTGGACAGCTCTATTTACAGCCTAAAAGTACCACTGCCTTTGCACCTAACACAAACAAACTACCAGCGCAACAAACTCTATTGCAAATAAGAGGCAAGTTCCGTTTGTTCCTTCTTATGCACTATCACTACTAGAAGCTGGAGCATACCCGCCTCCCCAGGCCACTCCCTTTATATGTAGACACCCCAAATGGCAGAGTTTCTGGTAACTGTCACTGTTTTGCTTTGGCACTGCTACACAGCCGGATGAAAGAAGCAGTAAAATTTCAAAGCACGTAATTCTACCAGGTCTGCTGTTGAGAATTAATTACAGCTCTACACAACAGTCATTAGTAATTGTTGGAGAATATACACATCCAGCTTACTCAAAATGGCTTAAGTTTCTTTTATTAGGGGACCAAGGATGTTAGATAAATAAAACTAGAGATTACCAGCCAGAGGCAACAGACTTGCACAGGCTCTACCTTATATATTACTAAAGTCTTGATATCAAGAATCACCCTAGACGCTTTCTATTCACTGACTCAGAACGTGTGTCATACAACAATACAGATGTATGTGACCCTAGAAAAGAACAGCTACCATTATCAGAGTTCCTCTTCAGAATCTGACTCCACCTCTAACTTCTTTTGTTAGCTAAGAGTATCACATACACCACCTCTATCACAGAAGACCGTGACAGATTCACAAGAGCATTCACCTGAACTTGATGTAGTTCTCCTAGCTCTTAAAATTGGGTAGCTGCCAACCTCTAAAGATTTGTTCAGATCAAGGTCATGCAAAATCAGAAGATA